GCTCACAGATACAAGTTGAACATAAAAAACTTATAACCAAACAAGAATCACCCACCATATAATTATTGTTATGTGCAGACTGAACTTGTTTCCAGGGTTGATCTCAAGTATTGTGTATAGACAGTTATCTCTTGTATACAACAATACCTATCGAGATACATACACTTCATTTTCAGTACTTCTCAAATCCACAACTATAGAGCGTTGCTCCTGCCAAAATGAAGCTGCTGTCTAATACTAATGTCACCTGAAGCATGGATGCACAGAGCTATGGTACACCTTAATAATTGTATTACCTTCTAGAGCAGGAAAACAACCATCTGGGACATAGATGGCGTTGTCATGGTCTTCATGCTCATTGACTAAAGTGTTTCCTTTCCAGTATTACTACAACTTGCCCCATTCGACATTCTCCTTCTCTTATATCCACTGCCCTTCTCTAGGAATGCTGCTATACGCTTATGTTGACCAGTACCTGTCGATTCAGTACATGATGTAGATATGTTAACAGTCTATTTTTTAGCAACCAGACTGATTATGCCAACTCAAAAAATATTGTAAGATGCAGAAAGTTTAAACCTACAATATTGGTCTGTGTTCCGCCAGAAAAATATACATTATAATATTTATTGACAAATAATTACAGAGCAGTAAGTTGATGTTAATGTTATAATTATCAGAAATGCAGGTTTTGGAGATAAACATAATCTGATTGAGTGACCATCCACACAATAATTAGGGCATGATGTTAATATTAAAAAATAAGACATGATATTATTGCACTATAATATACCTTCTATACTTGTAGTGCCGAGAGTAGTTGTGCTGCATGCTTAAAAATTGGTACATAAGTTTGACTCCCAGATTGTACATTACTACTACTTCATCGGGATTTTTCATTCTCTCTTTGTACTCATGGTTTCTTTGCAGGTAGGCAGTGTCCTGATCTGGAGTCATCCAGAAGTATCTTTCCTGATCACGGTGACACTTCTACTGGTAGAGCTACATGTAGTAGTTGACTGTATGGATATGCCAGATGGATTGATTGATCGTTTCATCCCAGTAATTGAATGATCCACTGAACCAAGAAATCTTTGCGCTGAAATGAATAGAATACTTCAAACAACCCGTCAGCACCCTTTTAATAACACACAAGGCATAGCTTTATTTATTTATATAGCAACATCTAAGAAACTGAAATTTTGTTACGAGAATCTGATGACCAGAATTAAAGATATACTTTGTTTCCCTTTTGATAAACTATGTGAGTCAACCACATTTGTAATATCTTGAAAAGGAGCTCGTGATGGCATTCCAATGGATCTTGTTGTGTGGTTACTTGAATTTCCTTTCACTTGCTTCCTAGAAAACTGTCCACACTCTAAGGCCCTCAGCAACATAGTAGACATAATTAGCATAAGCATAGGAAGAACATGCAGCAGTATATGCACGCTAAGCTTAAGTCACCTCAAACACTTGTAACAAACCATTTTTTTGGATATTACTCCCTCCGTAAAGAAATTTAAGAGCATTTAGATCATTAAAGTAGTGATCTAAATGCTCTTATATTTTTTTACAGAGGGAGTACTTGATACAAACTCCAATAATAGACAGTATTGCTGCTTTGGTTAATACTCATTTTGTCATGGTACAGTGGACATACACACATTGCTCTATATAAAAATAATAATTTCAAATGTTAAAATCCATGAAGATGGGGTTTTAAGTGGCTATAACACTTACATGGAAGTCTATCAGAAATGAAACGGGAAAAAAAACTTTGTGGACATAAACTCAAGACGTGGTGGTCAGAATATGCTGTGATATATTTCCTGATTTCTATACTGAAATACAAATTCTGGATTCAGGTTCATGGCATCTGATACACGGAAATGGAAAATATACATATATTTACAGAAGTTAGTACCACTTCTACACTTCCTCAGATGGCATCTTACCTCTTCAGATCTAAGCCGTGAGTGCTTGAGGAGTTGAGGTTGAGGATGCTGTGTTCACATCGGTCGAGCTGCACTGGTATGCCATCCGGGCGGTAGCAATTGCAGCAACAATAGCTTCCAGGGTTGGTTGGCCTGAAACACGCACGGTCGGAGATGGCAGGAAGCTGTGGCGGTGGTGACCACCTGGAACAGTAGCAAATGATGGTGCGCGCCTGGAGGAGAAACCTCTGGGGCGGCCCGAGTTTGAACGACTGGGGCCGAACTGGCACGGATGAGCAAACAGCGGAGCGCTTGCCACGGCCGGCGGCGAAGACCGGAGTACGGGCGACAGCGAGGGCCGTGGGGATGCAATGAAACAGAGTCCGATGAGGAGAGATAGTGCGTCATTTTTTATGTTATTTATAGGTGGGACGCTCTGGGTGCTTCTAGAACACTCGGTCGCGCGAGCGACGAAGGCCGCCAAACCTGAGCGCGCGGGGATGACCGCGAATCCTGGATATCTTAGCCGTTAGATTTGGTCCAGTAAAGATCTGACGGTAGATCTTCAGTGCAGCGAGCTGAATCAACGGCTGGTGTTTGGTTGGGATGCTAAGAGGAGAGAGAAGGGGACCAAATTTGAAATTCGTACACTATAGAGTAGTATAGATAAGGAGGTTCAACTCTTCCTCCACTAGCGGGGTGATACTAACTAATCTTTCAATCACATTCCTTGACACCTACATTGGCCCTTAAGAAATTTTTCCAAAATTGTTAGTTGGGCCTAAAGCCCACCCCATATTCAACAGTAATTTCTCATCAATAACTCCAAAATCTGATCAACACACTCAAAATCTGACAAACAGATTGATTTGCTGGTTAATTCAATATTAATACCGCCAATTTTTTGTGAGCAGTAATACGAGAAATGTGTTCTAGTAAGGGTCGTCTGGGAAGAAGGATCGGGCGCCGACCGAGCGAGGGTGACATGAGGGGCGTTGTGATTCTACTTCCCAGGTTCAATCCCCACAAATTATCTTAGCTGTATATATTGTCGTTTCTTTTAGTAATATCAGTTCCGGCCAGCTTTGCCTACCGTGTTCCGTAAAAAAAAGATCACATTTTCATTTTATCTCCTTTTTCCTTTTTATATTTATTTTCTTTACTTTTTTTTCATTTTTGTTTCTTTTTTCTTTCCTTTTCCTTCTCATTTTCTTTCTCAAATTTATTATCTATTCCAAAATGTTCAAACAATAAAAAAATCGTATTTTACAAATTTTGTTCTTTTTCTTAAAATGTTCTTGTTTTAAAATTTATACACAAATTCCAAAAAAATAGAATTTCAATATTTGTTAGCTTCATTTCATAAAATTTTGAGAAATAAAAAAATGTTCACGTTTTTAAATTTTGTACACAAACACAAAAATAATTTGTTTCAAACAAGAATTCAGATTAAAAATATATTCACATGTTTAAATTTTATTAACAATTCAAAATTGATTCGGAATTTTCAGACAAATGTTCCCGTTTCCAAATTTTGTTCATAAATTCAAAAATTAATATAAAACATCATCAAGCCACATGTATTCCTTCTCATCGCAAACATTTCATATTAAATACCACATCAATTTCAGGAATATCAAAAAATTCTTTCCTGTTTTCCAATTTTTTTCACATATTGAAAAAAGTTCAGTTTCAAAATTTGTTCACAAATTCAAAAAAAGTTTGCATATTTAATTTTTGTCTACAAATTAAAAATGGTTCGTAATTTAAAAATGTCCTATTTTTCAAATTTGTTCACATATTCAAAAAGTGCTATGGTTTTATTTTTCACAAATTCATAGAATATTTACTCTTTCAAAATTAGTCCGCAAATTAATAAAATGCTCGAGTTATGAAAAAATAGTTTGTAATTTTGAAAAATGTTCAGTTTTTCAAATTTATTACTGTTTTCCAGAAAATGTTTTGCGTTTACAACAAGTACTTCATAATTTTGAAAAATGATTTCGTATTCAATTTGTGTTCCTATATTTAGAAAAAAATTAAGTTTCCTAAATAATGATCGCGTTTCAAAAGGTATGACTTTTAAAAAATCTGGTTTGGAATTAAAAAAAATCTAATCTGCCGCGTATTATAGTGGCTATGTATGCACTTCTCTGGTGGGAGGACTTGTGTTCAATCCCTCTCCCACAAGTTTTATGGAATTTTCACGAGCTGGCCTTGTTTTTTGCCACTACGGCAGTTTCTAACATCGATGCTACAAATATTTCAAAATAGCTCACGAGGCTAGCTCATGAGTCGCGGTGGCTAGCGCAGCACGTGCATATCTGTAGAGTGTGCTCTATTTTTGCGAAGTTTCATTTGCAAAAGACATCGGATGGGCCGGCCAAGGTGAGCCGCCTCCTGTGCGAAACCGCGACTCCTTTTCGCAATAAACACAGGAGGTCCCTAGCCTAATCTTTTCACCACGTCCCACCTAACCTTTCCACCAGGTCCCTTGTCATTGACACCTACATGGGCCTTGCGAGATTTTTCTAAAATTGATGGTTGGACCTAAAGCTCACCCAATATTCAAACAGTAATTTCTCATCAATGAACCCAAGATCTGATCAAACACAAAATCTTATTAAACAGGTTGATTTGCTGGTTAATTCAATATTAACTCCGTCAGTTTCTAGTGAGCAGTAACATGAGATATGTGGTGTAGTAAGAGTTGTCCGGGAAGAAGAATCGGGCGCCGCCCGAGCGAGGGTGACACGGGGGGCGTTTTGATTCAGCTTCACAGTCTCAATCCCCTCTAATTATCTCAGCTTAGTAAATCGTGTGGCTTTCTTCTAATTAGATCAGTCCCGTCACACCCACACACAAAAAATCCCTGACCAGGCACATTGCACAAGCAAGGCTCTCACATATTCTCCAGAGAACTCATTTTGTTAATGTCCAAGTACAGACACACAGACTTCCACCGCACCCTTGGGTTCCACTTCACATTCGGTGATACAACACGATACAAACTCAGCCCCACCGGGATCTCAGACCCTGCCATGATCCACACATGGATGGACCTCAGTAGGCATGGTTAGACAGGATGGCTCTCCCGGCCCCGGCGCGGTGCCGGTGGTGGGCGCACGCGCAGTGCACGGTGGTGAGGCTCAGGCAGCCGCTGATGATGAGGGAGTGCCTCTCCGGGCAGGTGTGGAGCGCCGGGAAGGAGTCGCACACCGCCTGCACTGCCGGGGGCGTCAGCGCGGTGCACTGGCTGATGTTCAGGCTGGCGAGGCCGTCCTTGTCGTCGCGGCCGCGGCTGTTCTTAGCCGTGTCCCAGCTCATGCCCTTGCTCCTGATGCGGCTGTTCTCTGCCAGCGAGTACATGGCACGGTCGGTGATGTTCTGGCAGTAGTACAGCCCCAGGGAACGCAGGTGAGGGCAGCCGTTTGCAAGAGCAACCACACTCTCATCTGAAGAAGGAGAAACGGATATGAGTCAGATTTCAGGCAAAGAGCATGCCTCTACGTGCGACTGACAAGCAACCACAGCACTGTAAACGATGATGAACTTGGATAACAATGCCGTACATGCCTACATGGTGAACATGATTAACAACCGAAATAAACTTGGGTGAGCACACTTGATCTTGGAGAAGTATGGAGGTTGCACCTCAGAGAACAGTGTATAAGGGTAAAAGGATGCAGAATCAACTTAACAAAATCAGGAAGAGAGCACGTTATGTAAGAAGACATATAAGGATGCGTGTAATGTAATGTTTGAGATTGTGCATTCCAATAAATAATGCAAGTTGCAAATGCCTTGTCCTAACATTACAATATGATTGCAAAGCATAAAACTTGGCCGAAAGCCAGGATCAGTGCTGATATTGTTTCTGTCAGCATGTCTGATAGTAACTAAAAAGTTAAAACTACCTAGCAGAGCAGAGAAAAAAGTGCTAATATCCTTGTATATTTTGTTTTAGCAATCAACAGAGCACCAGATTGTGCAGACTGCAGGGACATGAGATCGATCAAACAAATTACCTGTTATAAGAACGCAGCCACACAAGTCGACGGCCCTAAGTTCAGGACATCCTGATGCCAAGCTAGTGACTCCCCCGTCAGTGACAGTATCGCACCAACCAAGGTTCAAAGATTGCAGCTGACTACAGTTGCAGGCTATAGCCTGCACCAAGATAACAGAGATTAAATAAAGGTTCACGCAAAATATGTTGTCGCAGCTTTAGTACCTGCAACGCTCTGTCGGATGCTGCCCGCACACACCCGCATAGATTCAAGCATTTCAAGTTCTTGCACTGACTAGTGAGGTAGATCAAAGCAGCATCACTGAAATTGGAACATCCACTGATGTTCAGCCTTGTAAGGCGAGGGCACCCATGTGCCAGAGCATACAAGGACCGATCGCTAAGCCTGAAGCTTCTGCTCAGATCCAACTCGCGCAAATCATGACAAGAATTTGCTACAGCCTCCACTGCACTGTCTTCAAGCTGAGGCTTGATTTGCCTTAGAGAAAGGACTTGAAGCTTTGTAAATTTGTGGGCGAGTGATATCACCAACTCATTCATGTGGTCCTGGCACCTGAAAATGACACTTTGGTCAATCAATAACCTTTCATCTGGACTGCACTTCAAACATTGCTAATAAGACAAGTAGTCGTCACATAAGGCCCTGAACAAACAATTTATTTATTTCGAACTAAGAAATTAAAGTTTCTTGGGGCAAATATATCATCTGATTGAGCAGTTTTAATGGTTGTATAACTACAACATTTTATGTTTTTGGACAGCTGAAGAACCAAATTGATTGACAATTTTTTTTTCACATTTGCAGTGGACTTCCAATAAATCATACAATTGAATTATATAATATACAAAATGATCTAAACTACAAGCCCAGTGGTAAGTTGTGCTACAGCCTGCAAGTGACATTTCATAATTATAATTTGAACCATCTTGTTAACTGAAGAATCTAATATTGGTCATATTCACATAAGAAAGAAATGCAGAACTGAAGATCACTCACCACGAGAAGGAGAGACTAGTGGCTCCCCATCCTAGTGCATCACGCCACCCGGTGCAAACACCGGAGGCTACAATGGCCATCCTGTCATCTCCAGCGACTGATATGATCCTCAGCAGAAGCTCCATGGGGAGGTCCTTCCAACCTGACAAGGTGGTGTCTGTGACACCATTCTGTGTCTGTCCACCACTCTCACCGCCACCAGAAACCACGAGTGCATTGAACGAATTGTCCAAGTACCCACTCACCATCTGTGCATTGACCATTTTCACAGATAAACCTGCATTCAGTAGTGCAGCTATTAGCAAACTTATATAAACAGAGTCAATAGGTTAGATTAGTAATAAGTATCCGCAACAAAAACGTAAATGCACCCAAGTAACCTCCCAGGAATGCGCTAGACCATACTGGAATGTCGCTGTCAGAAGCCCTCACCGAGATCTAGCAATTATTTGATCAAGGTAGGGTTCTTACTACTTTTACTTAAACACGTCACATCTAGTGAACGGAAGATAAATACCCGCAAAATTAGGTAGGGAACACAAACAGAGGAATGGAGCAATAATACAATCGAGAACCTAGACGCTATTGCCTCGATAAGTAGTGCCACCCTTTGTCTCTTTGCTTTGTTTCGTTTCTTGCCCTGTACTTGATTTCTCTTTTCTGCTTTTGCTTTGTTTCGTTTTCTTGCCCTGTGCTTTAATTTTTTTGGTTGGCTTATGCCAATAAGCCGTTGTTAACCATGGAGATCTCTTCCACGGCAGAGTTCCTTGTAATACAAAATGTCACGCATTTAGATGCGTGTTCGAGAAAAGAATTCTTCAAGAAGCAACGACTACTGCACTAATCTCTCAAGTCAATCAAAGCGTTCAGAAGGAACCAAAAGTCAGCTAGAAGTGGCGTAAGAATGAACAGCCTTAGGATCAGCACCTCTGTATCAACAATCCAATCTATGAGATCACCTAGAATCAAATATATTTGCGGGTGGCAACTAGCAACTTCCAATCGAGGAACTTGCGCAAAAATCCCGGGAGAGTGAACTCTGCACAACGCAGACCTTCTCAAAAGGAGCTTTGGGGTCTGCAGCCGTGGAAAGCACAAAGCCAAAATAAAATGGAAACGGCAAGCAAGCGCCAGAGGTTCCGGCCCCTTCCTCTTGGATCTTCTACTTCTATAAACCGCCAGAGGCGTGCACAGCAACGCAAACCTTTAATAAGCGAGAACAACCAATCTAAAGCATAAGATGCTCCGCCGCTGCCAGAAGCGAATCGGCTAATCCAGAAAAATCTCCATTAATCAGCTAATCCAGAGAATTCAATGGAGAGATTAGCTCGAATCTTCAGGGACTAAATGCTAACCGGGCCAGCCTCCATGGCGGATAAGCGTCCGCGGAAGACAGGGACCCGGTGCAAATATCAGGATCCGAGTCCTAGGAATATCCAAGAAAACAACCAGGAGCTTTGCCCAGGATCGAAGTAGCTTTCGCGCACAGGCAGCCACAAAAAAAAAACTACGGAAACGGCTTTCGATTCGAAGCAGAACCACGGAAAGATCCAGTTTCCGGGGGCGATCCCGCTCCCGAGCACCAAACAGGACTAGAACAAATCCTAAAAACAAACAGCAAGGATAGATTTTACACGGGGAGAAAGGGACGCGAGCTCTACTCACCCAGCCGAGCAAGCCGAGAAGCGAAGCGGCGGCGCGGTCGCCGCTGCCCAGAGGCGATCTATCTATTTTCCGGGGATTAAATCGAGTTTTAGCTGCCGCAGTTGAGCACTGGCG